TTAAATTAGCAAAGTCAAATTCCTGGGCAGATTTCTTGGTGGATTGGTTGCAGGTTGGTAGGTAGGAATACAACATTTAACTGTCCCATATTGTGTATCACATCATTGAAACATTATTTGGTTTAAATTTTCCCTTCTGTGTATAAGGGTTTGTTATTGGTACACAGAATAGTGTTCCTTGGCTTCCTTATGATGTTCTTTAGAATATACTGCCCACAAATATAAAGTATCTCCTGTAATATGAAATAGTTTAAATAATTAATGACGCCATAATTTGGATTGAGGAGAGAAAACACTGTGTGCAATTCTTTCTCCTTCACATTTTTACCTGAAAAGAGGGAACCTGATGGGGAGATAAAATTTTGGAACAAATTTGAATCAGTTAATGGGTGCTTACGTATGTGGATTAGAGTTGATGTGTGTGTGTGAGAGAGAGAGAGTTAATAAGCTATTGAAAGGTGATGTTAGGGCTTCATTTATTTAATCTTTAGTCTCTGGGGAGTGGGCCAGAAAAGAGGGAGATTCTTACCCATGGCTTCAGGGAATACAGCTGTTGCAGTAAGGTGGTGTATTTAACAAACATTTAAGAGATAGTGTATGGTAGTATAGATATTTGATTTGGAAAGAAAAACAAAAACCAAATCTACTAAACAAAAACCAAGTGAGGAAGTCAGGAAAATAGGCTCATCGTGGGGTGGGTGTGGGGTGGGGGTGGGTGTGGGTGTGGGTGTGGGTGTGGGTGTGTGGGTGGGTGTGTGGGTGTGTGGGCGTGTGTGTGTGTGTGTGTGTGTGTGTGTTGTGTGTGGGGTGAATAATTATGGGTTTTGAAACTTCACATCCAGTTTAGAAGTGTTTATTTTTTCAGAAACTCTCATAAACTTGGTGGAGTATATATAGATTTAAAAAAAAGGAGGACAGTTGTTAGTGGCTGTCAAAATTAACCCGTTGCTGTCAAGTCGATACAACTGCTAAACAAAAGGTAGGCAGTTCGAATCTGCCAGCTGCTCCTTGGAAACCCTGTGGGGCAGTTCTACTCTGACCTATAAGATCACTATGAGCCGGAATCGACCCAATGGCAGCTGGTTTGGTATTTTTGGTCTTATCAAAATTAAAGATGAAAATATTCTTTTATTTCATTCTCTAGAAATTATCCTACAGGTAAACTCAAGCCACACATACACACAATGTACAGAAATACTCACTGCAGCATTGTTTATGATAATGAAAAAATAGATTTCTCTGACTGCCTGTCATTAGGGGAATGATTATCATCAGACAGTGGAATGTTATTTAGTGGTTAAAAATGAGGTTAATCTGTTATGTGTGATAATAGAACAAAGTTCATGATAATTTTATGATGAAAAAAGTTGTTTAACAGTATAATCTCTTACATGTTTGTTTCTTAAACCTTGTATATGACATCGAAGATATCTGGAAGGGTATATTAAAAACAGTTCACAGTGGCTTCTTCTGGGAAAGTGGGATTGGAGAATGCAACTTTGACTTTTTACTTTATACCCTTCTGTACAATTTGAATTTTTAAGTATTTTTTGCTCTTCATTATATCTCTTGTTTCTGTTTCATTGCCTGTATAGTAGGTGCTCAGTAACTTTTAAAGGAATGGATGGGTGCTATGTTTGTCATTTAAAATAGTTTTAAAATAATTTTTCTTAAAATAACGTGGGAACAGTTTTGGCAATCTGAAATTTTTGAAGGTTTCATATTTTAAATTAAAAAATAATCATTTCAGTTTGATTTTTGATTAGATAATAAACCAGAGGATCCCCTTTAGGTTACTTGTGAACATTTCTTTTGTTTACAGGTATGAAGAATAGGAGAATGACATTTCAAATAGCAAAATGTAAATAATCTCTATTATGGTCCCATTGACAAAAATCACTGGGAATACTAGCTGAAAAGTCTCATTTTTTGAGTATTGCAGTTAATATTTTTCTTTAATTTTTAAATCCTCTTGCCCCCACCTCCACAATTGGGACAAAAATCTGTATTTTTAAAAAAATATTCTATTGTATTTTTGGTTAAAGTATACACAGCAAAACAGGTTCCCATTCAACACTTTCTTGACGTAATGTTCAGTGACATTGGTTACATTCTTCACATAGTGTCAACATTCTCATTATTTCTGTTCTAGTTGTTCCATCCTCATTAATTTAGTCTCACTTCCCCCAACCTTTTCATCTGTGCTTTAGAGTAACTCTTGTCCACTTGGTCTCATATACATAATTGCTTTAAAACAGCACAGTACTCAAGGTGACACTGTTTACTTTTTTTTTTTAAATGTATTTATTTATTTTTGGTTGAGAATATGTGCAGCAAAATGTACACCAGTTCACCAGTTTCTGCATGTACAATTCAGTGACATTGACATTGCAGCCAAATCTCTCACCCCTAGATTTGAAAACAGTGCTGCCCAACTCGAAGATGGCATCACCTTGCTCATAGATAGTGGCCAGCCACGCCATTTTGAATGTGTGTTGCTCTCTACAGTCCTGCCAATAATCCAATCTCACACATCAACATCAGGCTCCTGAAAGGACTCACTGTGCCGCTTCAGTTCTCTCATTCCAGGGCATTGACCCGTGATTTTTCCCATTCCGGGTACTGTGCGAATCACCCAAATTGTAAAACTTTGGGTCTATTCCTGTTTAGCTTTCTTGGCCATGACTTGACTGAATAAGTTTGAACAGGTTGCAGGCTCTGCCTTCTTCCTCTGTTCCTGCAGGCTAATTGAGACCAATTGTTGTATCTTGGATGGCCTTTTGTAAGCTTTTAAGATCCCAAGCACTACATAAGGAACTAGGAGGTAGAACCAGAAGCACTAAAGTTATTAGGGCAGTTAACTGGGATATGCCATGAAACCATGACCCTAAACCTCCAAACAAAGGAACCAAATCCCTTGAGGTGTGTGACTGTACATAGCAGCCTCAGCAGCTACTCTTTTTTTGTTTTCATTGTCATTGTTGTAAATGTATCTATCGCATACCTTTTGACAATTCAACTTTTTACAGGTATACCACTTACGGACAGCAATTACATGAATTGGCTGTGCAACCCTACCCTTACTCAGTATGATTTTTCCATCACTGTAAAACAAAAGTCAGCACTCCCCATGAGAAGTAGTTCCCCCCTGCAGCCACTAATAAACTTTGGTCTCTATGCATTTGCCTGTTCTTGTCTTTTTATATGAAGTCATACAATATTTGTCCTTTTGTGGTTGACTTGTTTCACTCTGCATAATGCCTTCAAGCTCCATCCATATTGTAGTATGTATCAAGACATCATTTATCCTACTGGCTGAGTAGTATTCCATTGTATGTATGTATCACTTTTGTTTTATCCATTAGTCCATTGATGGGCATTTAATTTGTTTCTACCTTTTGGCTGTTGTGAATACTGATGCAATGAACATTGGTGTACAAGTCTTCGTTTGAAACTCTGCTTTCAGGTCTTTGGGGTATATACCTAGGAGTGGAATTGCTGGGTCATATGGTAGTTGTATTTTTAGTGTTTTGAGGAACTGCCACACTGTTTTCCACAATGTCTGTATCATTTTGCATTCCCACCAGCAGCAGATAGGGGTTCTAGTTTCCCCACATCCTTGCCAACATTTGTTAGTTTCTTTACTTTACTTTGTTTTAATTTATTTTATTTTAGCCATCCTAATGGGAATGAGATGGTATCTCATGGTGGTTTTGATTTGCAACTCTAATGAGTAATGATGTGGAACATCTTTTCATTGTGTTTGATGACCATTCCTTTGCCATTTTATGATTAGGTTATTTGTCTTTCTGCTGTTGAAGTTCTTTGTTTATTTTGGTCATTAGATTCTTACTGGCTATATGGTTTCTGAAGGCATTCTTCCAGTTGGTAGCTGGTCTTTTCACTTTTCTGGTAAAGTCCTTTGATGAACGAAAGTTTTAATTTTTTTGTGGTCCCATTTATTTATTTTGCTGTTTATGCTTTTGTTATTATATTAGATAATCCGTTGTTAAAAGCTAGGCTTGATAGCATTGCCCCTGCATTTCTTCTAAGAATTTTATGGCTTTAGTTTGCACATTTAGGTCCTTAATCCATTCTGAATTTGTTTTTGTGTATGGTGTGAGTCATGTATCCTGTTTGATTTTTCTGCATGTGGAAATCCAATTTTCCTAGCACCATTTATTGAAGAGACTCTGCTTTCCACATCAAATGGACTTACTACTCTTGTAAAAAATTAGTTGACCATAGATTTGTGGGTTTATTTCTAGACTCTAAATTCCTTTCGATTGGTCTATGTGTCTGTTTTGGTTATTGTAGCTGTATAATGTGTTTAAAAATGAGGAAATATGAGTTGTCCTACTTTGTTCTTCTCTTTCAACATTGCTTTAGCTATTCGGAGCCTCTTACCATTCATTATAAAGTTGAGGATTGGTTTTTGACTTTCTTTACTTTTTGAGCTAACCTGCTATTTCATTAAAAGGTGACTTTAAGGGATAGTTTCAGTTCAAGGTTTAAAGAGTATCTCAGGGTAGTACTCTTGGGAATTCCTCCAGTCTCAGTGGCCCTGTAAGTCTATATTCTTTGTGAATTTAAAGTTCTGTTCCTCATTTGTCTCCTTTTCTCTCAGTTTCCAACTATTGTGACCCTGATCAAATGGTAGGTAGTGGTAGCTGCACACCATCTAGTTTTTCTGGTCTCAAGGTACAGGAGGCTGTGGTTCATAGAGAAGCATTTTACCTTTAAATATTTTGGATAAGTAGGTATAGTTGTTGAACTGATTCTGAAAAGTGGTCGTTTCCATTAAATAGAAGAAAATGAATCAAAAATGAAATCCATCTTATATATTTAAAGTTACTAGTTACCAAACACCTTGGAAATACAAAATGTTCCTCTTAACCATTGAAAATTCTTAGATAAAAATTAAGCTGGAATATTATTAGTTTTTAGTGTTATATTGAGATTTGTAAGTATATTTATCTGTATGCTTATAATTGTTTCAGTCATCACTGAATTTTGAGAAGCATTCTGAAAACTTTCCATGGACAGAAAATCGTTATGATGTGAATCGTCGACGACACAACTCTTCAGATGGCTTTGATTCTGGTATTGGGCGTCCTAATGGAGGTAAAATTTGCTAAAGATTGCTAGTGTTCAAGGATAATTGTTTCTTGTTCTTCTAAGAATGTTTTGATTGTTATTCAATCTATAAGCATAACTATCTTCTTTGAATTTATAACACTTTACCGTTATCAAATAAAGGTAATTTTGGAAGGAAAGAGAAAAATGGATGGCGTACGCATGGAAGAAATGGTACTGAAAACATAAATCATCGAGGGGGATACCATGGTGGAAGTTCCCGCTCTCGTAGCAGTATTTTCCATTCTGGAAAAAGCCAAGGACTACATGAAAATAACGTATCTGACAATGAAACTGGGAGGAAAGAAGACAAGAGAGAAAGAAAACAATTTGAGGCTGAGGATTTTGTAAGTGTTCTTATAATTTTAATACAGATAAGATTTTTGCAAGTGCCATTTTAGCATCTAACTCTCTCCTGACATTTTATTAGTACAGCTCATTTTCTACAGGGATAACACTTTGCACAGGTATTTGTCCAATTATTTTTAATTCTTACGTTTTGTGAGGGGCTTTTTGTTTACAATTCTTCCCCTCTCCGTTTTCGTTTTTTCTTTTTAATTTAAAGCTTTGTGGGACTCCTTATTTCTGAGTCTCATCATATGACCTTTAAAAACTTTTGATGTATTTATGTCAAGTTTATTCCTTATAGAAATTTGAACAGCTTCACCTAGAGCTTAGTGGCTTATTTGCAAGTGCATCATAATATCTCTAAAAAGCTATCAAGCTTTTGGAAGGAATATTTTACTGATACATTTTACTTAGATTGTCTGTTAAATAATATTTGGTTATTCATATATGATTCTTATATTACTCCTGGAATAGCTCTCTTCGTCTTTTAGCTATTTTCTCTACTCTTGGTCAGGGAAAGCAAACTAATTGTTAGCCTGGGGTCAGATGTAACTAGGAATGTTAACTCAACTACTAAAAATAAATATGAGCTAATTAAAAACAACTTTCTCAGTTTTTTCTATTCCTAAATCTCACCATGTGGTTTTCAGGTTACAGAAAAATTGATCTGGTATATAATCCTATTTATCTAGTTCTTGTTGTGGCTCATTCCAGGTAATTCAAAGCCTTATCTACTGTAGGTAGAAATAATTGCCATTTATAGTTTCTTTTTTAAATGTATTCATTGTCCACTCTTCATTGAACATATATTCAGACATATATTTGAGTGGTTCTTTGTGTCAGTCAGTCACTGACCTCTAGATACTCAGAATACGTAGGTGAACAATACAGGCAAGGCCTGTATTCTCATTGAGTTTCAATTCAGGTGAAGGCAGTCAGAACATAAAAAGAAAAAGCAATACTTTGCAGAGAATTTAGAAAAGTGACTGGGTGGCTACATTGTCAGGAAAGGCTTCTCTAAGGAAGTGGCTTTTAATCTGAGATCCACTGGATAAGGGATAGCCCTTTGTTAAGACTGAGAGGAAGAGCTAGTGCAGGACCCTAAGATAGGAGCAAACTTGTTATGTCTGAGGGATAAAAGTTAGGCCAGTGTGGGTAAAGAGAGTAGTATTAGACCAGGTTAGAGAGGTTAGAAAGGGTTTAAATTGTGTAGGAGTTTTACAGGTCAAGGTGAAGAATTTTAGATTATTTCCAAATGAAATGGGACGCTTCACTGGAGAGGAATCATGTGATCTGATCTTAGTTTTTTAAAAAAAGATACTGTATTTGTTGGGTCTTGAATGGATTATAATGGGGAGCAGGAAAATCCCTAAGGAGCCCCGGTGGCGCAGTGGTTAAGTGCTCAGAAGCAGTCACAGTAGTTTTAGGAGAAAATGATGGCTGGGACTGAGAGAGATGATCTTTGGATACGATTTGGAATTTGAGTGTAGGGTGTTAGTGAGGGAAAGAGAATTTGATAGATTGGTTTTTAGGGTTGGGAGACTGGTAAGGAAAAGAATGAAAGATTCTCTTAGGTCCAGTAATTAATAACCTTGGACTCTGTATGCTTTCCCATTTCAGTGGTGCATTTATTTTCATTTGCTAGTAACCGTAAGATGGACTTTTAATAATAATGGCAAACCTGTGATGATAATAGTACTGTCTCATAATGTTGTGAGGGTTAAATGAGTAATAAAAGTAAATCACTTAAAATAGTACCTGACACATAGTAAGCACTCAATAAAAGCTAGCTGCTGCTGCTGTTATTATTATGAAACCCCTACCCCCACTGCCAAGGTGGTGGACATCAGCTATAACAATCCTAGACCTAGAGTATAATTTCTAATAGTATGTTTTTTAAATGCACTTATAAACCCAAACCCGTTACTGTTATTTGTGACTCATGGTGACCCCATGTTTTACAGAGCAGAACTGCTCCACAAAGTTTTCTTGGCTGTAATCTTGACAGAAGCAGATTGCCAGGGTGTTTTTCTGAGGAGCCACTGGGTAGCTTTGAACTTCCAACCTTAGGTTAGCAGCCGATTGCAAACTGCTTGTGCCACGGAAGCTCCTAAATGCACTTTATAACCCCTACCAAAATCCTATTAACCCTATTTAATTTGTATCTATCAAGGAATCACCTGGTATGCATGCGCACTCTTTTCAGTGCTTTACAGTGATGTCAGTGCTGTATTAATAATCCACTTCTGTGGGTGATGAAAATATCATTTATATTAGGAATCATTTTATCCCATATTTATTAAGCAAATACCTTTTATAAGTAAGGCAGGCTGTGTTGCTAGGTAGTATGGAAAATACCTGATATAAAACTGGAAGTTTAGGATTCTAGAGAGAAAATGTATCTACTAAGATCAGCTTCATGTTATTGTTGTTAGGTGCCGTAGAGTTGGTTCCGACTCATAGCCACCCTACGTACAGCAGAATGAAATGTTGCCCAGTACTGCGCCATCCTCAGAATCGTTGTTATGCTTGAGCCAATTTGTTGCAGCCACTGTGTCAATCCATCTACTTAGGGTCTTCCACTTTTTCGCTGACTCTACTTATTTAATGCTCAACTCAGTTTTATTTCTTTTTAGTATGCTGGGCATCACTTACACTGAAATAAAACGTTGCACCTTTGTTTGAAAATAAGTATGTCAGCTAAAACATCTAGTGATAAAAACCTAACAGAAGAGTTGGAGAACAGTTTTGACCTTATGCTAAAGAGGGATTATTTCTCAGATTTTGATACTAAGACCACATTAGCTTGAGTTTGCCTGTTTGTGAATAAACATTTCTTCAGGTAGTTGGTGATGAGGAGACTGTTAATAAAGACTCTTTCCCCTTCTTTTTCCAGTGAACAGTGAGTATAAATAGTAACCATTTTTAATGGTTAGCAGAGTAAACTGAAATTAAAGTGTGAGTCTTTAATCGTCAGATTGCTGTTAAAGGATTTAATTAAAATATGCGAGCCGTTTAAACATTTAATATTTTTGTCCCAACTTTTTTCTAGCCATCTTTAAATCCTGAGTATGAGAGAGAACCAAATCAGAATAAATCTTTAGCTGCAGGTGTATGGGGTAAGTAATTTCTGATCTATCTTTGAGGGGTATAAAATGTTGTTATTTGCAGATTTGACTTTTTATGTGTGTTTTTTAAGTAAAAAACAGGTTAGACTAACACTTTATCTTTTAAATATTAGTTTTTGATGTGCTAAGCTTCAAAAATGTTTATCTTTTAAAAATGATACTTGGGTTAGAAGAGTTTGATTTGAAATATTGTTTGCACATGTTAGTACCATTAGGTATACTCAACTTGCATATGATTTTTTGAAAATTATTGTAAGTTAATGTAATGAGTTGATGTCATTTAATGAGCAGCCTGATAATCTAACACAACAAAAAACTTAGTTTAAATTAATTTTTAGTTTTTCAGAGTTGAAAACTGATTAGCTGGAAAATAAGTACTTCTCATCATGATGTGACATGAAATTAGTCTTTTAACCTGTGAAAATGGTTATACATTGACTGTTAAACTGTTAGAATAATTGTATAAGTTTGCCTATACAGATAGTCTGTATTGGAGATAATTTGCCTGTTTGATTGTCAAAACTTAATAAGAGTTTTTCTGGTAGTAACTCCCTTTTAAAAGTGCTGAGGGTTTAATTTGATAGTGTCTTACCGAAAAGTAAGCTGCACTCATATAGTACAAATTAGACAGCTTTTTTAAGATTCAAGTGAAGTTTAAAATAATGGAAAAAATTTAAAATATCAAGATTTGACATCTGAAAAGTAAAATTAATTATTTGATACCAAATTCAAAGGTGCTGTATCCACTTTGGAACTTGTACACACGTTCGTTTGTATTTTTATATTGAAAATCAACAACTTTTACTAAAACAAAAGGATTGTGGCTTATGACAGCATACTAGTCCTAACAATAAAGGCATTATTTTAAACTTTGCCACTTCCTATGCTATTCTTTATTGTATTTATGGGATGATACTCTGGGGAGTTGTTCTGTTTTCTTTTGATCTCCCTCTTTATTTAAGGGCTTTTTGAGGGTGGGGGTGGGGGGTGATCAGACACTTTTGTTAGAACCATGTGAATGGCATTGTTTTTTCTGTATTGCAAATTAGTATTTCTACCACTCTCCCCAGGCCTACACGCCCAGACACACACATACCCAACCAAAAAAATCTCCCAAGCTCCTCTCTTAGGTATGTTTCCTTATTATTCAGTTTTTCTGGGAACAGCTGATTGCTTAAGAATATAGAATCACCTGCAAGGTGTTAAATAGAAAACTCTAAGAAATTAGGAATAATTTGAATCTGATTAGAATGAAAGTAAATAAAAAATCAAGAATGTCAGTGACAGTTTGTCATATAAAATTACCTGTAGATCCTGTTGGTACTGATCCTTGGTTGATTTAGTAATCTTAGAAATGATTTAAACGCAAAGACATCTTTGAAAATAATGAAACTAAAATGTATTAATACAAAGATTTTGGTTCTCCTGTTTCAGAGTTGGTCTAAGGATTTTGAGCACTAGTTGAAAAGATGTTTAAAAGGAAGATGTACTCTTTACTGTGTCTTAGGTAAACTAAAAAGTGTGTCTGTATTAGAGAAAGAAAATGGCTGTGGCTTGGTAATTATTAAATTCCCAGTACTTTCCTTAGTAATACAATGAAAGGTTCATTGTATCACACTTCACTATTGCTCTCTCACTACTCCCTGGTTCCACAAATACTGTTTTACCTATTGCAACATTTAAAATAGCTATGTTCCTGAGGAAGACATTGAGAGAATTTTAGGAAAGACTTCAGTAGAGCTTTTCTAGTGCCACTTCATTCCAGGTAAGTCAAAATTTAACAGTGAAAATGTGATATGCATAAAAAGTAAAAGTTTGTCCCTGAAACTAAATTTTATAGATAAAAAATTGGAAGAGTCTAAATAATATTCCAATCTAAAAAAAGAAAAGAAAAACCTTGACAGAAGGTAATTAAGCTGCTTAAGACTTAATTTAATTCTACTTAGAATTTTATTAGCTTTGTTGGAAATCCCTTTGTACAGTTTTTATCTGTGACTTCTAGTGTTTTGATCTTTACCATGATCTCCCTCTTTGGTGCATAAGATTAATGTTTATTAAATAATCCCGTCTTTTTTCACATCCTTAGTAATTTAAAACAGGAATTCAGGGTACATCAGTGTGCCTATAAAAATTTTTAGATAATTTAGGTTTATGAATTGATTTATTGGGAGTGAGGGAACAGAGAATGATGTATTTTTATGTGTTTATATACAGTTTGAGACCTCATTAGTGGCTGTTAATTTTCATGTTTTTAGAAGTTTTACTAGGCTATTTTCCTATTAATAATCCAGTATGTCATCAACATATAGGTAGCACTTAACATTTAGTGTTTAAGATATTAAATAATGAAAAAATTCATTCACTAGTAATTCACCTGAGCATAGTCCTGTTTCAAGTCAGCACTTATTTTTATTTATTCCTTGATAAATTTGATCAACTTTCCTGATATTTGCCCATATTTGATGTACTACTTAAGAGCAACACAGTTCATTTTTCAGATTTTTTTTTTGTTCATCATGTAAGTGGTTTTTATTTATAAAGTGTACCTCTTTAGGCCTGTTTGTTACATGAGTAATGTAGGGGACTTCATGAAAGGAGAAATACCATTACCTTACTACTGACAAAATTATAACAGTAAAACTCATTGTGCTTAAAACCAGAACCTATTTACAAACTAAATAAAAACATTTGAAGGCAAGAGAATTCACATAGCATCAGTCCGTATAAAAATAATCTTAAACAGATTGTTTTTCTGCATCATAATTACTGATCACAATAGGAATTTATTTTAATTGCTGTGGTACAGATTCTTTGAATTTGGTATGTATCTTACGTGAATTAAGTTTTCTCTTTTCTTCAAATTACTGTGAAAACTTGATTAATTCGAATACTGTTTATCCTTCATTTGGCTGTGTGTTTTTGTTTACACATTAAATTTGCCTCTTTTGTCACGATAATGAGGAAACAAAATTAGTAACAGGCAGCAATGTAATGGTAAAGGAATGGAGGGGAGAGACCCTGATGTCACTTAGTAGTGCACACTTAAACAAGGCTCTTAACCTGACCATTCAGTATAAGCTTATTAGTAGTATTTTTAGTTAGGAATGGAAACCCTTTAGAAATATATGGCACAACCACTTTAATTTCCGTTTTTTTCTGATAGTACAGTGGTTAAGATCGTTGGCTTTGTAATCAAGACAGATGTGCACTCTAACATTAGCTCTTCTACTTAATTGGTTTATTTAGACTTTGGGCAAATTACTTAATTTCTTAAGCTCTGTGGGTGAATTTCTTCCAGTGTGAGACAGAGATGATGAAAACAAATCTTAAGGAACAAAGCACTGTTAAGATTTACTGTTTATTGTATGAAATCCTTGAGCATGTCACAGGTGTTTAAACGACAGAAAAAGGATTTCTAGATCAAAGAGTGAAGTGGTTAATGCAGTGATTGAATCAGAATATATGTATCTAGATGGGGCCTATATGGAAAGAGTTGTGAAACAGAAAAGAGGACAAGGAATTGAGATGTCAATTCTGGATTATACGTGTGGCCAGTTTACTTTGTACTTTATGTGGAGGCGGTATTCTGAATCCGATCAGTCTTTTGAAGTATTGGACCAATTCCCCTCTTCCATTGACTTTGTATTTAAGGAGTAAAATATTCTTACATGTATAGACATGGAAAGACGTGTACTTTAAAGTCAGTTATTGTCAGATTACAGTTGTTTGTGTGGATAATGATGTGAAAGAGAAATAATGATATGAAAATCCAAAACTCATATGTGCCTTCAGTTGTGTTTAGAACTTAAATTTGAATGTGAGAATACCTGCTTATACAAGCTTGAGGTAAAAAACCAAACCAAACCCATTGCTGTCAAGTCGATTCCGACTCAGCACATGTAATTTATTGAAGGAGGTCACTGTGGTCACTTCTTATTTTCTAATTCTTTTATATAGGTGTTAAAGTATTTCAGCTCTTTAAATACAGAAATTTTCTCTAAAAAATAAGCAAAAAAATTTTTAAAATTGACAATTTGAGTCTTTTAAAATTTAGTTTACCAATTGACCAAGTAAATGGAGAAAGTTTAGATTTTAACAAATAGACGAATTAAATACTGTTTGAATCTAACAGCTTAAATACTTGGAAGGCTGGTTCCAGGAGATGTTGTAGAGGTTATCTATAAACAGAGCAATCAATTTATATATAAGATGGATATAAATGACAAAAAATTAAGTTTTGGTTTTTAGAGCCATCATCTACTCTTTCCATTATTTAAAGGTAATTATTATCAGTAAGAACACTTTTCTTGTTCTTAATGGCAGGCTTATATAGTATATTCAGAATAATTATACAGGACATATGTTAGTCCTTATTTTCTTTTATCGTTTTTCTCATCCTCTTTACCCTTGGGGGTCAGTCTAAAATTTTTTAAAAAGTATACCTTTAATTTGAATCATATTCACAAGCCTATTTTAGCAGAGATGTAGTATATGACTGTTTGTATTCTTTTCCTAGTAGTTAAACATTTCACAGTAGCTGAGATGGGAAATACTGTTTTCTGTCTTACAGATGAGAAATTAAGTAACTTGTATAAGGTTAAACAACTACCGAGGTTGAAGCTGTATTCAAATTCTGAGTAATTTGGTACTAAAGCACATGTTCTTAACCTCTGTGCTATAATATTTGAATATGAATGCTTATTAAGTACCTGCAGTGATATACTGTGTCTGCTTCTCTTCCCTCCCAGTCCCCATTATCTTCCTTCAGGTACCTTTATCACTTTTTACTTTGCTATGCTATCTATTCTTCTCTTAATGATTCCTAAGACTTCACGTTTCTTCTTTATATTCTATCATTTCTTGCATTGAAGTTCTCATGGAGGAAACAGCCAGAGTTATTTATTCCTTCTTGATACCAAGGAATCCAATTTTAGAAAAGGTGAACATTGTAGTCAGGAACTATATAGAGGCTTACAGATAATATGGCTTATTGCTTATCTCTTCTCCCTCTCTTGTGCCTTGTAGTTTTGATTAGAGATTGAACATGTACAAAAATTTTTCTTTCTTTCCTTCTTGTACTCCATCCTTCATGTGGTATCATTTGCTGTCTGCCTGAACTACATTGTTTAGAATTTACTTTAGTAACGATCTTTTTCTTATTACTTAAGATTAAGTATTTGGTTTTACTTGTCTGAAAAGTTTTATTTCTGTCTTCTTTGATACCTGGCATTTTCGCTTCCAATCTTCCAAGATTTTACAGGGCAGATTTACTCCATCCTCAACTGTTAGGTCCCTTTGTGCACACACTAGATTGAAGCTTTTTCCTTTATTTCTCCTTCTAGATATGTGTGTTGAGATCATTCTTACTGATGACTCTTTTTCTGTTCTTTACTGTTGTATTTGTTTTCCTCTTCTATTTTGGTAATTTTAACCTAAGGGTCTAGAAGATAGAGAAGGATTAATTTGTGTGCTTAGTCAGCCATATTGAACTGGAAGTCATTTGTGTTTGACTTCATTTAATTATACTGATAACAGCTGCCTCCTCCTCCAATACCGTTCGTTGTCTTTTCCCAGCATCATTCATTCCTCAGATTTCTGAGTTTTGTTTAATTTGGATTTTGATTTCCAGGCTGCTGTTAAGGTTTTCACTTATATTTTATTATTATTAATTTCAAGAATCTTTCTTAGTATTTTATTCATGTTGTCATCATTTGTTTTTCAAAAGTAATAATTGCAAAAATTATATTGTTTTGTAGTATTTCTAATGTTCTTCACTGACCTCAGTTTGAGATCTTTATTCTTATTATTCATTTTTTAAACTTAATTGTGTAATTTCTTCAGAAAAGGTGTACATTGGTAGTATACTTTCTGTGTCGTTGTGTGCCTGAAGATGTCTTTCTTGACCTCTTTTAGGCAGCCAAGAAGTTGGAATGTTTTCTGTAGTGGATCAACGTGCATTTAATTTTTGGGAAGATGAGCCTTTTCTCAGTTTGCTCTAGTTCCTTGTTCTTTTATCCTTCAGCATTGTGGTAATGAAGCACCGTACCAGCCGTGTCTTCTGGAGAGTTTGTAACCTCATATGAACCTGAGAGTCCCTCCAGGCTCCCTTAGGAGTCCCTGTTTAGTTCTGATTTCTGAAATGGTCCAGTAGGAAGTTTAGTTTGTTTTTGGCGGAGTATTGCTATCAGCATCTATTCATTTAATACACAGAGCTAATTTTAATTTAGATTTTCTGAGGTTTCTGTTTGAGTTAATTCTTTTATTCTAAACTCTCCAACAGATGCTTTCAGCATTTTTCTAAGGGAAGGAAGACATACTTCACAGCAATAATGGTCATGTGTAGCACCCGTTTATACATATACGTTGATTAAATTCTAGTAATGGTTTTTCATAATTTTAGCAACTGCTGTAGTCTTGAGAAATGCTTGCAGTTAGAACTATTAACCCTAGTACTATCTTCAGAAGCAAAGATCAAATTGGTTGGCCTGTATCTCGTACAGTGTCCTGAGTATTGTTAGATGGTCAGTAAGTATTTGAATTGGTATTGTGAAAATAAAATTCTCTTTTTTATTAGTCATAACTTACAATTAGAAATTTAGAAACAGAGATACTATAGTACCTTGCTTGTTGATAACTTTATAAGTGGGATAAAAAAGAATGAAAATGAATTTAGGAAAATTGAATTATCTTTTCAAAACGTAGAAGAAGGAACTATAAATCTGTTTTATATTCTAAGCATTAAGAGCCATTAGGGTGGAATTGGCAATTTTTTTACATTAGTGAAAAATATGTTAGGATTTACTTAATCTTAGTTGTGTTATAGATAACGTTCTAGGCCTCTCTGTCTAACAGCACTCATCTCTATTGCTTGATATTGCTCAGTTCTTGCTCAATTCTGTTGAATTATGATTTTTCTTTATTTTTTAAGCAGAAGTACAGTTAGTACTTAGTTTAATTATTTTATACAGGAGGCAAATGCTTTTTTTTTTTTTAATATAATCAAGATTTGGAATATACTGTTCTTTTGGTAGGCTTATTTTATGCTAATTTGAAATGGTGTGTAACTCTTTCCTGTGCTTTATTTATGCAGAATATCCTCCGAATCCTAAATCTAGAGCTCCAAGAATGCTGGTCATTAAGAAAGGTAATACAAAAGACTTACAGCTCTCTGGATTCCCAGTAGTAGGAAACCTTCAGTCACAGCCAGTTAAGAACGGGACTGGTCCAAGTGTCTATAAAGGCTTAGTCCCAAAACCTGCTGCTCCACCTACAAAAGTAAGTTCTAAATTATTAAAAATATAAGTTTTGAGTTAGTATCAGTTTATTTACTTTGTGAAAAGAATGTTAAAAATTTTATAGCAGAGTGTGGGGATGTTGGTGGAATGCTGACCCCTAAGTGGAAAGAGTTGGCCCATTTTGTGCCATTTTAATTTTAATTAGCTTTTAAGTGGTGTATGTGTGTGTTTTCTTGTTTTAGTGGTAGTAAATGAGCTTTGTAAAGTTTTCGTTTTACTAGTTACATTTTCTTAATGATCTGTAATACTCTTTACTTACTATTCAGCTTTATGTTTTTGAAGTTCCCACTTGTGATTTCTTAACATCGGGTATAAAAAAACTAACTAGGTTTCTGAAACTTAAAAATAAATAGCAATTTAGTCAGATGATTTTATCTGAATACCAAACATTGGTTATATTCATAGGAAAAGGGAAGGAGAACCATGTAAGAATGATTAAAAGAAGTATAACAAAAATAATTGTTTTTATGAGCTAAATGTTACCACTTTTTCTGATCACCTTTTTCCTCCTATAATCTGTTTTTGATATTTGTGTATTTTAATGTTTATGTATTTTTCTTTAGCCTACACAGTGGAAAGGCCAAACTAAAGAAAATAAAGTTGGGACTTCTTTCCCTCATGAGTCTACATATGGTGTTGGCAACTTTAATACTTTCAAATCAACTACCAAGAATTTTAGTCCATCAGCAAATTCAGTGAAAGAGGTATGGCATTAACAATTATTCCTGAGGAGTGTTTTAATTATGGTAATTTAATTAACAGTGAACACAGACATGCATTGATTAAATAAATACATTAAAATGAGATATTTTACTTCCTTCAGAAAACTTAGGAGCCCTGGTGGCACAGTGGTTAAAGTGCTCAGCTGCGAACCAAAAGGTCGGCGGTTTGAATCCAGCAGCTGCTCCATGGGAGAAAGATGTCGCAGTCTGCTTACATAAAGATTTACAGCCTTGGAAACCTATGGAGCAGTTCTCCTATGTCCCATAGGGTCACTATGAGTTGGAATTGACTTGATGTCAGTGGAGTTTTTGTTCAGAAAACTTAACTCCTATATTTCCCTCTGTTTTCTAATTGTCTTTGGACTTTAAGAAAGTAGGAATTTTTTTTTTTTTTTTAATTTTAATGAAAATTCCCAGACATCCCAAAAAGTAGAGAAAATAATACAGGTGAATGCCTGTATACTCACCAACCAGAAAGAATATTTGTTAAGAAAATAATTGCTGTGAAAATTGCGTTATTTTACATTTCTGAAAGAGTTATGCTTGATTAATAATGAGGACTTGTATTACATGATCCTCTTCTTTTGAAGGTGATGGACATTCTATTAGTGTTAACACTAAGGGGGAAGAGAGGAAGAAGAAGAGAGAAAGTTGCATATTGTTACTGTACTGTGAACCTTTGGTAGCTCAAGCATTTTTTTCTCATTTGATCAAGTTCTTGAAGCTCCCTGACCAGAGATTTCCTTGACCAGTCTAGGGTCAAAGACTCTTGTGACTGTATTGTTATATCTGAAATTGCTTTGGATACCATATTGAAGCTTTATAACCCCTCATTATACTATTGCTTTTTTAAAAAAATAATATTTTATTGGCTTTTCCATAAAAGTTTACACAGCAAATTAGGTTTCCGTGTAACAATTACTATACAGATTGTTCGGTGACGTTGGTTACATTTTTCACAGTGTGTCAACATTCTCATTAATTGTAGTGTGGATGTTTCATTTCTAGTAATCTGATTTCCCTGTCCCCTTACCACTTTGCTTTAGAGTAATTGTTGACCATTTGGTCTCATATAGATGATTTTTAAAGGTGCACAGTACTCACAGATAATAGTCTTTATTTTATGAGCCAATCTGTTATTTAACTAAAAGGTGACCTTAGAGGGTAGTTTCAGTTCAAGGTTTATGGAGTATTTTAGGACAACAGTCTTGGGCAGTCATCTAGCCTCAGCCAGTCAGTAAGTCTGGACTTTTTAAGAATTTGAGTACTGTTCCACGTTTTTCTCCTCTTCTGTCAGGACCCATCTATTACAACCCTGATCAAAACGGTAATTAGTGGTAGCCGGGCACCATCTAGTTCTTCTGGTCTCAGAGTAGATGAGGCTGTAGTTCATGTAGACAGACTATTTTTTAATTTTAGCCTCAGTCATAGAGTTTTAGAATTGTGAGGGAAGGACCTTAGGAACCTTAGAGTTCCCAGCTTATTTATTGTGGCTTAGATTAATTACAGTATGAAGACATTAATGCCAACAGTTAAGGCATTTTGGTCTATTTCCATGCCTAAAAAACCGTGACAAAGAGTTCTAACATTCTTTTCTATTGTATTCCACTCTCAAAACAAAACACTAAAGAACCAAAAACAAAAGGACTTCAGTAAGTGTTCTTTCCCTTCCCCTGTTCTTCCACAAAAATTTCCTCTGGTAAAATCCAGCCCTATAAATCCTATGCGTGTGTGCGTATAAATAGTAAAATAGATTACATTGAGCTGTTATTAAACCCTAGAACTCTGTGGAACACGGTTTGAAAACTGTTCTTCTGTGTATTACAATATACAGAAATATTTAAACAATTCCAGGATCAGTTTTATAAAATAGTATTCAAATGTCTAATTTGGAATCATAGTATTATCCGATCGTCGTTGCCTCTGGACTGTTGCTATGAAGGGTGGAAATAAAATGTGTAAGAAAATTCTTTAGTTTAGCAGTACTCATTGAGTGCAGAGAAAAAAAACATTAGGGATAGAGAGAAATAGATTTTGAAATAGACCTGAAAAATCAGTTTTGTGTGTGAATAAAGGTAAAATAGGGGATTGTAGTTGTGAAGTTGGCATTTGTTCCATGGCTGTGTATTTATCTGTATTTCTGAATTTTCTCTTAGTGTAATCGCTCAAATTCCTCTTCGCCTGTTGACAAACTTAATCAGCAACCTCGCCTAACCAAACTGACACGAATGCGTACTGATAAGAAGAGTGAATTTTTGAAAGCATTGAAAAGGGACAGAGTAGAAGAGGAACACGAAGATGAAAGCCATGCTGGCTCAGAGAAGGTAATTGAACTCACAGTAACTGTTGGTTTGACATCAACATCATTGAAATATTTGGTCAAATATCATTTAGGACCTTTGAATAAATTAATCAAAAATTTATTTCCCTAAAGCTAATTATTTGTCTAACGAGTGACTTCTTTCCTAACGTAGACATTTTCATTCTATAGTTCCTATACAAAAATAAATTTTATAAAGTCTTGTTCATATTTTCTTTATCTTGCATTTATCCTTTTGGTTTTGCTTTTGTTGCATAGATGTGAATAGATAGTGTTTAAAAAACGGAAGCATAGAGTCAGAAAGCTGTGGCTATCCTTGCCAGCTTAGTTTTACATTTTTATGAGAATCTCTCCTAAATTTAATGATCATGTTGTATTTATATGTTATCAGTAGGACTCTAGATAGAATCTGTTAAAGTTTTCAATAGCTAAATTCTTTAGAACTCTTTTTTTTTTTTTTTTATCTCCCTACAACTCAGGATGACGACTCGTTTAATTTGCGTAACAGCAATAGTACTCACCAAGAGAGGGATATAAACCGAAACTTTGATGAAAGCGAAATTCCACAAGAGAATGGCAATGCCTCAGTGATTTCCCAACAGGTTATTCGTTCTTCAACATTTCCACAAACTGATGTTCTTTCAAGTTCACTTGAGGCAGAACACAGGTTAGTGATTATTTTTACGTTTTTGTCTGCCATTTTCTATTTTCAGGATTTTGATATTTTATAGATGATGTTGTGTGATTTATTTTTTAATAGGCTTATTGAGATATAATTTATATATCATAGATTTCACCCATGTTAAATGTTGCACACTTCAGTGTTTTTAATATATTTACAGAGTTGTGCAGCCACACTGTAGTCTTAATTTTGGAACGTTGCCATCACCCGAAAAGAAGCCACATGCCCGTTTACAGCCACTTCTCATTTCTACACTCTGTTATAGAACCCACTGCCATAGAGTCAGTTCCGATTCAGCAATACTGTAGGACAGAGTAGAACCACCCCTTAGGGTTTCCAAGGCTGTAAATCTTTATGAAAGGAGACTGCCACATCTTTCTCCTGTGGAGCGACTAGTGGATTCGAACCGTCGACATTTTGGTTAGCAGTTGAGTGTTTTAACCACTGCGCCAGCAGGGCTTTTCATCATAGACAACCATTACTCTACTTTCTGTCTCTGTAGATTTGCCTGTTCCGGACATTTCATAAATGGAATCATATAATATGTTGTTTTTTGTGTCTGGCTTCTTTCCATTAGCATAATGTTTTTGAGGTTCATCCCTGTTGTAGTGTGTATCAGTACTTTTTATTCTCAAATAGTATTCCACTGTACAGCTAAACCACGTTTTGTTCATTAAGTTATGGATATGGGATTGCTTCTGCTTTTTTGAGTATTATGCATAATGCTGTTATGAACATTCATGTACAAGTTTTTGTGTGAACATGTTTTATTTCTCTTGGGTAGGTATGTAGGAATGAACTTGCTGAGACATATAGTTAACTCTGTGCTTTAACGTTTTGAGAAACTGTCAAACTGTTTTCCAAAGTGACTGCATTCTAATCAGCAATATACTAAGGTTCCAGTTTCTCCGTATTGTCACCAGCACTTGTTACCATACTTTTTTTTGTTATAGCTGTTCTAGTGAATATGAAGTGGTAGCTCATTGTGGTTTTTTGTCATGTATTTCCCAAATGACTTAACAGTGTTGAGATCGGCTGCTAACCTAAAGGTTGGCGGTTCGGACTCACCCAGCAGCTTCTTGGAAGAAAGACCTGGTGAACCGTTTCTGTAAAGATTGCACGTGGCCAGGAAATCCTTATGAGGCAATTCTATTTTGAGACCCATGGGGCCACCATGAGTTGGAATTGACTCAATGGCAATAATTTTTTTTCTTTCTTCCCTGCTGACCATTTTTATATCTTCTTTGGAGAAATGTGTATTTAAGTCTTTTGCCCATTTTTAAATTGAGTTTTGTCTTTTTATTAATGAGTTGTAAGAGTTCTGTGTATTCTGGGTACAAGTCACTTATACTGTATGATATACAGGTATTCCCTCCCGTTTTGTAGATTGTCTTTTCACTTTCTTAATGATGCCTTTTGAAGTGCAAAATGAAGTCCAATTTATCAGTCTTTTTCTTTTATCGTTTGTGCTTTTGGTGTCATGTCTAAGAAATCTTGCCTAACCCAGCGTCAGAAAGATTTGCTTCTATTCTGATTGTTTTATAGTTTTACTCTTCTTTGTTTAAGTCTATGAGCCATTTTGAGTTAAGTTTTTTCGTATGATGTGCAAGAGTCCAAATTCGTCCTTTTCCATATGGTCTCCAATATATGATTTATTTTAATTGTAAACTCTCAAGAGCACTATCTGCTGCCATCATTATAGTCTTAAATATTTTTTTAAATAGTAAATTCTTAAATGATTTAGTGCCAGAATTAAAGAGCATTTAAATTTGGAGCAGACTTTCATTTTCTTTTTTTCTATGATTTTATAGTTAAGAGTAGGCATTAACAGAAATGCCTTACTATCGTCTTGAAACCACATGATTTCAGCATGCATACTTAAAGGATTAATGGAACTCTGCTCAATTTATTTTCAGTAACTAAAGGGTTAGAATTACTAAAACAAAGTGTTTATTAGCAAAGAAATAATTCATGCACTTACGTTATGTATTACTCTATAATTGCTTTTTTGTAAACTGAGTTTTTGTCCAACTGAAAAGTCTTTAACATCCTCTAGGGAACAGGCTCAGTGCTGAGTGATGCTTGCTAACAGCCCAGTTGATTGACTTGGCTTTTTGTTTGGTTTAATGCCAATTCTCCTAGCTAGAACCTCATCTAATTCTAGGACAGTGGGGAACTGGGTTACCTTTTCTGAATTTATTTATAGTTTCAACTTTTATTTTCACTTAGACTCTAAGCTCCATAAGGACAGAAATTTTTTCTGTTTTGTTTATTATCTTTAGCACCTAGAATGATGCCTGGCTCATTACTATGTGCTTAAATTTGTTGAATGAACGAGTGAAATAACAGTTCCAGTATTTTTCTACTTACTTTGGGGTGGGGGGGCATTTTATTGTGCTTTAGGTGAAAGTTTCTAGAACACGTTAGTTTCCCGTTCAATAATTTATACATAAATTGTTTCATAACATTGATTGCAATTCTCGCAATGTGTCAGTACTCTCCCCCTTTCCACCCCAGGTTCCCTGTTTCCGTTTGTCTGGTTTTCCTGCCCCTTCCTGCCTCTCATCTTTTCTGTTGGCCAGGTGTTGCCCGTTTGGTCTTGAATATTTGATTGTTCTAAGGAGCACATTCTTCACGGGTGTTACTGTTTGTTTTGTAGACCTAATATTTGGCTGAAAGGTAAACTTCGGGAGTGGTTTCAGTTCTAAGAAGGGTGTCTAGGGACCATAGTGTCGGGGGTTTCTCCAGTCTCTGTCAGATCAGTAAGTCTGGTCTTTTTAGTGAATTTGAATTTTGTTCTACATTTTTCTCTCGCTCTGTCCAGGACCCTCTATTGTGATCCCATTCAGAGTGGTTGGTGGTGGTAGCTGGGCACCATCTAGTTCTTGTGGTCTCAGGCTAGTGGAGGCTGTGGTTCATGTGGTCCATTAGTCCTTGGACTAATTGCTTCTTTGTGTCTTTGATTTTCTTCATTCTCCTTTGGTCTGAACGGGAGGAGACCAATAGTTGTATGTTAGATGGCTGCTTGCAAGCTTTTAAGACCCCAGATGCTACTCACTAAGTAGGATTTAGAATATTTTTTAATGAACGTGTTATGTCAGTTGACCTAGATGTCTCCCGAAACCATGGTCCCTAGCCCTCAGCCCCAGCAGCTTGGTCCCACGAGGTGTTTGGTTGTGTCTAGGAAGCTTCTGTGACTGTGCCCCGTTTGAATATACATGTTGCACATACAAATAAGTATGTAAAAGTATCCATAGCCAAACCTATATATGTATGCAGGTACACTCCTATACTCCCTCCTACCCATTTCAGCATACAGAGCTACCTATGTATCTGATCATAAAATTATTGTTTGTTTTAGTCTTGTAGAGCTGTATTCATTACATTACTTACTGTAGTTGGCTTCTTTTTTTTTTTTTCCTCTGTATTCCTCTCAGTGTCTTCCTTTGCCTGGTCATGTGCTGGCTTTCCCTGTATTGTGTATTGCCTTTCACTTCACCAAAGTTAACATATGTCTACTGTCTAATTATTGATTTTCCCTCAGCTCTTCTCTCCCACTCTTTGGTAACCATCAGAGATTGTTTCTTTTTGTGTGTAAACCTTTTCTTGACTTTTTTTTTTAATAATAGTTGGTCTCATACAATATTTGCTCTTTTGTGATTGACTTACTTTGCTCAGCATAATGTCCTCCAGACTCATCCATGTTGTGAGATGTTTCACAAATTCATCGTCATTCTTTATTGTTGTGTAGTATTCCTTTGTGTGTTTGTACCATAGTTCAATCATCTGGTTTATGGACACTTAGGTTGTTTCCATCTTTTTGCTATTGTGAATAATGCTTCAATGAATATTGGTGTGCATATGTCTATTTGTGTGGCAGCTCTTATTTCTCTATTTCTACCTACTTATTTTGAGGGAGATATTTCTGTTTTGCCTCAACTTTCTAATATTCCAGTCTACATTTCTCCAAATCATGAGACTTTATCACCTTTTTTAAAGACTCCTTTAAGTCTTTGTCATTCTGTCCTGATTTGTACATTATTCCTTATCTGTTTGATTGTTTTTGTTTTCTTCTCCAAACCGTGTTCTGTTGTGCTGTTTAGATGTTGCTGTAATTATTTTTGTGAGAGTATAGGCGTTTAGTTTTGTAATCTTCCATTCTAACGTGAACTCACTTTTTGCCTAAAATAGTTTGTTAGGCTGGTGGTAAATGTGAATGCTCATTTGATGAAAGTTAATTTAACTACATATGTTTAGAACTAACTTAACTAGATAACGTCTATAAATTAAATTTTTTGGGCAAACATAAACTACATTTTATCACTGTTATATTTAATGTTAATGTATGAGTAAGTAACCACAGTGTTGCTCCCCAAGTTGTGGAACTGTCTTCTTCCTCGTAATATAGCTTATGATTTGTGACTCTCTGATTTATCGACCGAGTAGTGACTGCTCTGTCAAACCATATGGAACTTTCACTATTGTAAAAATTAAATCCTTTTTAAACGATAAACATAAATAAAAATTTCCAGTATTTTCTTGCATCATTCTAATGAGGTATCTTGTATTCCCCCTTGAAACCACTATTCTATAATATGGATATAATTTATGAAACCGTTTCCCCCTTGATGAAGATTTAGACTCACTCTCTCTTTGCTGTTTGAAATGATGCTGATGTGACCATCCTTACATTCATATCCTTGAACATTTGTATAAGTATACATATTAAAGAAGTGGAGTTGCTTGATCAAGTGGCATACGTATTTAAAACCACTAAGCATTGCTGCATTGTTAACACAAAAGTGTTCTTCTGATTTGTTCTCAGTCAGTAGTGGTTTAAACATTTCTAGACAGACAGTTGATAGGAAGGAAGAGGCCCTTGCACAGAAAAGTATATAAACAAACTGGATATTCTAATGATAGTAAAAGATGAGTTTAATGGAGATATTTAAAAAAAAAAAAAAATTATTGCTGTTGAGTCAATT